AGCCGACTCCAAGTCGTGGGCCATGGCGTGTGCCCTGGCCTTCAGACGACGGGGCTTCTTTCGCGGCGTCTTTCGCGCAACTTTATCGGATCTTTCGCGCTAAACCTACTATGATTTCACAAAAATATGTACCTTCTGACGTTGATGCTGCGTGTACGTCGGAATGACCTATCCTTGAAGGGCAGAGGCCTGAATGAAAGGCACGACCATGCCCAACTCCCACACCACCTCCCACACTTTGTGGACTGGCAGCCGGGCGGTTTAGCTTTGGGTATATTACGGTATATTATATAGCATGGCGGGACAGCGAGTTTGAGATCTGTATGCCTACGGACTGGTACAGCATACACCATACACGTCCTATGGGACCAAATCTATTGCGCAACAACTTTCGCGGATTTTTGCTTTCCTTTCGCGGACCCATCGCGCATCTTTCGCACACACGTAGTTTAAATGTTAAAAACCGTTTTATATAAATCCCACACAAGGACCTTTAGATCAATGCTCAGATACAGATGCATACGTTCGCCTGGCCGCATTCTGAGGCGTTGGCCGCTGCTACTGCTGCTGCCGGCCGGCGGGCGTTGCTGCAGCACAGAGCCTCCGACACCAGGAGCCGACGAACGTACACTTCGACTGTTTCAGGTTCCCGGGCCACTTGGTTTAGATTCGCGGCACTTGACGGACGTTAGCTGCGCAGCACGTGCAGCGAGACAAAGCTGTAGCTATGAGTACTATCTAGACTCTTGACAAAGACGCGAAAGCGAACCCGACCATGGAGGTGGCAACGCTGAATAGAACTGCTGCCTAGCGGAGCTGTTGCAATCCATGGACTCGTCATGGCCAGTCAAGGTATAGCAGTACACTTAAGTGCGTAAGGACGGCAGTCTTACAGCTGGGCAAGGAAGGTAGTCGCGTGTCTACGACGCCAATGCGGTAGTTGTGTCCAAGATCATTGTTGGCTGGCGCGGTGACAACAGTTGACTGTAGACCACTGTAGACACTGAGGCAGCGACAGCCTGTAACAAGAACCTCGCATGCACAAGACAGCGCATGTGCGTCATAAGCCTCCAGAATCTGATAACAGAGCCCCACCACCTGCTACTAAGGCAGCAACCTTGACGAGTTCGCTAATGTCTTCCTCCTCGGCAGACATCCAGCACAGGCACTACGACATCTTGCTGCTATCGCAACGGATCTTGGTTCCACAATCTTGTTTTGATTCCACCCAGTGCCATCTGGGTATGCCACTTCCACGTCGAGACTGTTGAAGCCGTCCTGGTGGACGCTTAGAGGCTTCAAAGAAACACTAACCAGGCTCAGACGATCTGGTGCTCGCACCAACTGTTCCGGGTGCGGTTTTGATTGCTATCTGGAGTGCCGTAGATTTTCCAATGAATGTGGTTGGTGTGTGCTCGGTATTTTGGGGGATTATCCTGGATTGTGTCTTGTGTTTTCTTCTATTGGTTCATTGAATTCTCCTGGAGTTGGCCAATTTCCAAGAAATCACCATCTAACATCACGCCTTAGTCGAATGAAGGAAAACTGAGCAACCTTCCAAACTGAACAGCCCCACCATTTTGTCACACAGCCATGCTTCGAGTAGGTAGTACTCAGTACTGCCTCCACACGCTTCAAAGGCAGAAACTGTGCAGTCTGCAGCATCTGGCTTTGCCCGTTTGCCTTGTGGCTTTCCGCTCCTTCCGGGGCCTGACTGGGGAGTTGCAGCTGTCAAGGCCACATACATGACAGCCTAGAAAGCCGGGGGGGGGGGACCCTCCAAGGTTATACACCGCACAGACGACAGGTGCAAGTTGTGCGGATTCGAAGATCCTGATCTTGCATTGAGCTGGAAACCAACTTTCCGCGGATCTGAGCTCTGCATAGCTCTGCGTGCCTCGCTCGGGAAGTAGGTGTGGAGGAAACGTGTGAGGATGCCTTCTTGCGTTGGTTGTGGCCTCGGTAGGTACGTGGCCCTGCGGGTTGCCCCCACGGGCAGGTCAGTGGGAGCTACAAAGGGAGATAAAGCGAGAGAGACATGAGAGAAAGAGAGACAGACAGAGAGAGAGAGAGAGAGAGATAGAGCGAGCGAGAGAGACAGAGAGAGAGAGAGAGAGAGAGATAGAGCGAGCGAGAGAGCGGGAGCGAGAGAGAGAGAGAGAGACAGAGCGACAAAGCGAGAAGACTAAGAGCAAGAGGGTGGGAGAGGGAGAGAACTAACCAGCTAGCCAGAGAGCTGGAGTCAACAACACAGTCCTGCCCTCTCCCACAAAAACATGACAACCGCAACAGTCTCCTATCTTGCAAAGAATTGCTGGCAGCTCCCTAACGTATCTATTATGACCACGACCGCATGGCCCACTCAGCTATGTTGACTACTGCCCTCACACCACCTTCACACCGTCAGTGGCACAACCGATCGCATCCTGCTGCTGCTTACTGCTGCTGCTTACTGCTGCTGCCACTGCCGCTGCTACAGCCACTGCCCCTGCCACTGCCACTACAACTACTACTACTACTCCTACTACTCCTACTACTACTTCTACTAGTCCTGCTACTACTACTACTACTACTACTACTACTACTACTACTACTACTACTAGTCCTACTATTGCTACTACTCCTACTAATTCTACTTCTGCTACTACTACTACTACTACGACTACTACTACTACTACTACTGCTACTACTACTACTGCTACTACTGCTACTACTGCTACTACTGCTACTACTGCTACTACTGCTGCTACTACTACTACTACTACTACTACTACTCCTACTCCTACTCCCACTCCCACTCCAACTCCCACTCCCGCTCCCGCTCCTGCTCCTGCTCCTGCTCCTGCTCCTACTCCTACTCCTTCTCCTACTCCTACTCCTACTCCTCCCCCTCCTCCTCCTACTACTACTAGTACTACTACAATACCACTACCACTACCACTACTACGACTACGACGACGACGACGACGACGACTACTACTACTACTACTGCTACTGCTACATACTACTACTACTACTACTACTACTACTACTACTACTACTACTACTACTACTACTACTACTACTACTACTAAAAACTACTACTACTACTACTACTACTACTACGACTCCTGCTACCCATAATGCTACCTCGACGTCGACGACCACGACCACGAGGTCGAGGACGACGGGCAATCGTAGTAGTAGTACTAACACCAGGAGTACTAGTACTAGTAGTACTAGTCGTACTAGTCGTACTAGTCGTGCTAGTCGTACTGGTAGTACTAGTAGCACTGGAAGTACTAGTAGTGCTCTAGTAGTACCGGTAGTACCAGTACTACGGCCCTATTCTACTACATCAACGACGAGTACTATCACTACTACTACGGCTGTTGCTGTGATCGGCGGAGCTAGCACTGCAACAGGATGAAAGCTCCAGGCACGCCGGTCTCAGGGGTAGCTAATGCAGCCTTGTCAAGTAGAAAAGACTCGACGGTGCTCACGATGACCATGAGCATGGTAGTCGTAGTCGCGGTAGTGGCAGTAGGTGATTGCAGTGTACAAAAGAAACGGTAGGTTTGCAGTGGTAGTAAAAGCAGAAGGAGAAGCAGAAGTAATAGTCGTACGGGTAGTAGTAGTAGTAGTAGTAGTAGTAGTAGTAGCAGTAGCAGTAGCAGTAGTAATAGTAGTAGTCGTTGTGGTCGTAGCCGTGGTATGCCGTGGTCGTGGACGTTGTCAACGTGCTGGTCGTAGTAGTAGTAGTAGTAGTAGTAGAAGAAGTAGTAGTAGTAGTAGTAGTAGTCATACCAGTCGTAGGAGTTGTAATGCAGCAGCAGGAGCAGCAGCAGCAGCAAGAGTGGAGTAGGAGCGGGAGCAGGAGCAGGATCAGTAGCAGTAGTAGCAGCAGCAGCAGCAGTAGTAGTAGTAGTAGCAGCAGCAGGAAAAGGTGGTAGTAGTAGTAGTCGCCGTCGTCGTAGTAGCAGAAGTAGTAGGAGCAGCCCTAGTAGTAGTAGTAGTAGTAGTAGTAGTAGTAGTAGTAGTAGTAGTAGTAGTAGTAGTAGTAGTTGTAGTAGTAGTTGTTATTGCTGTGGTACGGCTAGTACTAGTAGCAGCAGCAGCAGTAGTAGTCGCAGTCGTGGTAGTAGTAGTAGTAGTAGCAGTAGTAGCTGCAGTAGAAGTAGTAGCAGTAGTAGTAGTAGTAGTAGCAGCAGTATTAGTAGTTGTTGTGGTTGTCGTTGTGGTTGTGGTTCTGGTTGGTGATGTTGTTGTTGTTGCTGCTGCCGCTGTTGCTGTTGTTGCTCTTGTGGTTATTAAATTTTGTGGTTGTGATTGCTGTTGTTGTGGTTGTGGTTGTGGTTGGTGTTGGTGTTGGTGGTGCTGGTGGTGGTGCTGGTGGGTGGTGGGGAAGGAGGTTAGCGTGGTGGTGGTGCTGGTGGTGGTGGTGCTGGTGGTGGTGCTGGTGGTGGTGGTGCTGGTGGTGGTGCTGGTGGTGGTGCTGGTGGGTTGGTGGCGGTGGTGGTGGTGGTGGTGGTGGTGGTGGTGGTGGTGATTTTGGTTTTGGCGCTGTTGTAGAAAAAGGTTGTAGCTGTCAGTTAGTCGGTGGCAGGTGGCAGGTGGCAGGTAGCGGGTTGTGTGTAGTGGTCGTTGTCGTCGAGGTGGTGGTCTGCAGCTGCAGCACGATGTGGTGCAGGTGCTGGTGGTCGTGGCCGTGGCAGCAGTAATGGTACTCATAGTGGTGGACGTCATGGTAGTGGTAGTAGCAGTTGTACCCGCGGTAGGAAGAAGAAAAGCAACAGCAAGCAACAGCTAAAGCTGTGAATGATGCCAATTACAGCGCCAATACGGCCCAAAGCTGAAGCACTCTGACCGACCATCGTCGAAGCAAATGTGCCAGCATTCTGTGAGCGAAGTGTCGTGAGGTGTCGACAGAAGTTTTTGGAATTTGATTCTTGGGTTCAGGGTAGCAATTGGCCCGGTAACATCAAAGGGCTCTCCAACTCAAACTCTCACGAGCAACAGGCCTCAGCACCCGTGCCAGGATATCCCTTAATGACATTGGGCAGCTGCCGGCACGCCTAGGAAGAGAAGGCTGGTCTGGATACTCCTTCTTCAAGGCTTTGCATCACACGGTAACAAGGCTCATAGACTTTTCAACCTAATGAGCTGCAACGTTACGCCGACAGGGTCAGAATGGAAACAGCAACAAACGGCTGAGCACTAGACACAACACATGAATGGGCAATCATGGGCAATCGCGAACACTGAAGCATGGAAGCCTGTCGCTTTTATACCGTTGCAAACCCAACGTAACTACAGCAACCACAACATTTCCTGCTGCGGTCGCGCTGCTGATGGTAACAAATACTGATACTGATGGTCATGCTGATGCCAACCCTTCGCCATGCCGAGGAGGGAGAGAAGAAGGGTTATGACTCATGACACGTGACGACGATTCTGGGTCGGATGCTGAGGGTCGTCATGATGGTGGTAGCGCCGACGAAGAAAACCACGAACAAAGGAGAGAAGCTGGCATGTAAGCTTCCAGCAGCCGCTTCGTCTGACTCCTGGCCCGCAGCTTTTTCCAACACCCCAAAGCTACCTTGCAACTCTGCCCTGGCATACCCTTAAAGAAACACCCTACGTCGATCTACATCCCATACTCCTAATCCCACACTCCTACCTACAGAAAATCCGTGGCCTCCACTTGCGTCTCCCGACGGCAAATGGGACCTTTGAGACCACCAATTCTAAGGGCAGTTGTTGCGTTCACAAAGCTCGTCACATCAGGATGCCAAAACTGAAAAACCCTCGAGGCAGCGGCACTGTGTTATGCGATATTCTCCCGGCTGGAAGGCAATCGGACCTCAGCCACAGCTCGGCGAGTTTTAGGGTATTGATTTTTCAGGTTGGCTCTGCTCTATTCCACTGGGAGCCCAACCGAGAACAAAGCACTTCCAACAGAACCTGCGCTCCGCACATTTAGATTCTTGCATTCGGCTTCCCCAAGCTATGCTGCTGCATGTATTTCCTGCGCTGCGGTCGTCAGTAGGACGGGTTCAATGAGCATCGGGCCTTTACCCCCCGCAGCCCCGGGCCGCATTCACAACCCTGGCATGCCAGCCTGTGGTGGCAAGAGAGCTCCACCATATCGGAGATGGTGTCGAGGCAGATGGGACACTGTTGAGGCTCCTGGAGCAGTCGGCGCTTTTCCTTAAAGGGGAGATGGAACACGAGAACAGGATGTCAGTACGGTGGGAGTTCGGCCTTTGGGATAGCTCTTGAAGTGCTGTTTTTGCATGTCTCGACAACAGAAACAAATAACGATGTGCATGACTATTCAGATATCTGCCAACTAAGTAATGCACATGCACGTACGGGCATACATGTCCTCATCCATACATGCGAACACATGCAATACGCACGACTATATTGACAAGCAGCGCGCACATGTCAGAATGAATCTGTTAATATGAAGATACATTTGCACCATATGTACTTCTATCTTTGATAATTCAGTCACATTGTAGGTTTGTACGGAGAGTCATGTGGGCCGGTCGTGTGCACATACGACATTTTTCGGCATGCATATTGTTGCTCAAACTCCCTGGCTCTGCGGAATCCTTACAGCACTATTCTTTTAATCTTGGCAACAAGACCGAAAGCGCGCCTGGTTGGACTGTGAACGATATGCTGCATGCTCGTGTCCAGCATCCTGCAAGAATGTGCTCTTCATGCGCGAATGGGCATTTTGCTGCTGGAAAAACCAAAGTACCGCAACGTTGGGCATAGCTGCAAAAGCTGCATGCCGTTGCCAGGGCCACCGTGGTGCGACATGAAACGCTCTGATCTGAACTTCGCCTCGATAAGGCATACGAGTACCAACCTTCTGAGCTTGACATGACTATCTGAGTCCATTCTTACCCCGTTGTTCTTGTGGCCGTGCTTTTCACTGCTCCCGAAGGACCCAATTCAACGACCGAGTTGCAGACTCTACATTCTGTTAACACAAAGCCACTGATGTCTGCCGCCACCTCTGGTAGGATCTCCGAGAGAACAAGCCTGAGAAAGCCAGGATCGTCAAGGAAAGACTGAGGCAGAATTTCGGGCCGTTGCCAAGCAAATGCGCTCCTGGCTCCGGTCACAGTCAGTGGAACAATGCAAAAGGCCTCCTCGTCTTTGTGCTATGGTTTCCTGTTCACCTGTTGCTGTCCTCCTTACATTGGCAGATATGCCATGTATATTTTGTCGAAAATAAAAATGATGAGAAGGATTGACAGCAATCACACTTCTGCCGTGACGGCAACTACCACTGAAGGGGGCGTACTTTGCGTGATGCAAAACCACGGCCCCTGCATGTGCCCCAGTGACTCGATCGAAGCGTGGAGTTCCGCAAAGTCTGAGCCGCTGAAGAAGCCTTGTCCTTGGGAAACGTTGAACGCTTCAGAAGGTTGCAGACCTATTTTGGGTTATTAGCAATCATGTTCATCCGTATCAATACTACATATACTGCAAGGACTAGCAATTTTCGCAGCAGCTGCACTCGTTGGAGCAACGTGGTTGTGTTTCTTTCGAAAGGTGTGGCTGACGCGTGGTGGAGTCCGGGTCGCCGGCGTGACAGCCAACCGGCTCTCTCTGCAGCCGTGTCCTCGATTCCGAAGCCTCTGCCGTCGGATCAGAGTCAGAGTATCCTTGTGTCTGTTGCCGGATGTCGATCGGTGACAGTCAAGCTGGTTCTGTAGCACGATTTCCACTCAAGGGACATCAAGGGACCGAAGACTTCGCGCCCTGAACCAATTTAGATAAAGGGTACAAGACCCATGAAGCAGCTGATGAGCCCTCTTCAAGGCGCCCCGCTGGTTTGCTTCCGGCGCTTCTTGAGGATTTTCACCTGGGTCTGCGGTTCGCAGGACTTCTCCCGACAGGTACAAACGGAACCACACAAGTCTGGGGAGAAAAAGATTTTCCTCCTTCGGCTGACCTTTCACATCTACTTCTACAGTGTGTAGCGGTTGTCGTTCATTGTGGTGGCGGGACATCAGAAAGGCTCTATGTCTAAGTCTTCATAATATCCTGACTAAGCTCGTTGTGGCTGCTATGTCGCACCGCTTGTGAGCTTCACGGCTTCAGTACAACGGTGGGTGGGGTTGTTATCGCTGCTAAAACAGCACTGCCAGCATGTGGGCATGACTGCGAAAAACACCTTCCTGACTTTCTGCTTGTTCCGGGGCACCAGGAGCCTTGGGCTGCAATGGCTGTGACACGAGATCGATGGCAGCGACGAGACACGAGCTTGCTGGGTGAGGTCAGCGGCGACGAGTTCGAACTGTCACGCACGGCCGAATCAAGAATGCATCCGCAAGATGCTCGCAGCTGATACTAGTCTGAGCGGCTTGGCGATGTAACCTGTGTGCAGCCCTGGTCCTGTGATGTCCTGTGTGTAAGACCCTAGCAACTGCAACCGCATTCCAGACGGCATATTTTCGTAGCTGGTCCACCTGACGGTCAAGAAGTTAAAGCGGAACGACAGATTGCAAAGCTACTCTCAGCTGGAACGATTCTGGCAACTAAGGCCATCTAAGGCCTAAGTGCTGGCCTCGCCTCCTAAAGTCGACCTCGGTGGCCTCCATGCTCTTTGCTTCATGATCCCATCCTACCTCCTGGAGAATGTCCACCAGTTGCCTGGGAGCGAAACTGGTTCGCCTATAGTCACTAAACTCAGAGACTAATGAGATGCTTCTGATGCTCCTAAGCCCAAAAGCCGAAAATTGAAGCTTCGAAACGCGCTCTCCCTCTGGGTTTGCCTCTGGCTTCACATCGATTATATCAGGCTGCAGTCGATGTGCAATGCCAGCTGGGTTCTGGGACGTAGTAAGTGCTGTACCCGGTGAAGCGAGCTACATCAGGAATGAGCCCCGGGTGGCAATACTCCTTCTTGCGGTGGAGTCTTGGGTGTTGGATGCAGATACCCGCTGGGCCATGTGACTTGACGTCCCCTTAGTTTCACGAACGTTTCATGAAATAAACGGAGCTTCAGTGTTCCGGCATCTGGACCCAATGCCACGTGGTCAACATGAGGGCACCACGCGAAACACTCTCCCGGAGGGGAGGCCAGACGTAACACGACAGACGTTACCCAACCACAGAACCCAACAGCAGCAGCCCTGAAAAACCTCAGCTCTACCTTCACCCCAGATTAAACTCAACAGTCTCGCATGGGAGGCTTCAACCAGTATGCTTGCTGTCAAAAGCGACTGCGTGTGTCGGACCTGCTTCATTATTCACAGAGGAGTCGGAGTTGTTGGAAGCTGAACACAAGTAGAAACCTAGCACCGGGTTCAAGATTGACGATGCCCGGAACAGTTTCGAGAACCATCTCAGGCCACGTAGAGGCTTAAATGGCTAAAGCCTCCTTGGACTGCTGATCTTGGAGGTGCGCATGTACACGTGTAGCGACTGCAGTTGGGAAAGCACAGAAGGGGGTTGTAATAAGTCTCGTATGTTCTATGTTCCGGCCGCACCTCATCGCATCCGCCCGGGACAAGGCAGTGCCGCCTAGCGCAGTGAGATGCTCAGCTCAGTTTGCAGACTCTGATATACCACAAGTGCTAGACGACATGTTCATCGGGCCGGGGCGACCGTCAAGATGCAAGATCACCATCTATGGACCACAATTGAACTGGACGGCTCATGCAGGAGAGGCTGACGGCAACCTTGCCTCGCTCATCGCTGCACCCCTGGCGTGGACAATTAGACGCGGCTAGATGCCTTCGGAATGCATTCATGGCATCGGGTGCTCCTGCACCCAAACCCGACCGACTCCACACTCCAAAGGAATAGACTCCTAGACCTAGGACCGAGGAGATGGAAGCCTTCCGCTGATGGAGCTCTTCGGCCAGTTGCGCTGTCCTATAACGGGGTGTCACGAGCCAAGTGGTTTCGCAGTTCCAGATCAAGTTCTGCAGCAAGGAAGAAAGCCGAAGCTGCATTATGACGTCAACATCAGCCAGGCTACATTGAGCAATCTTACGCCCTTAAGCCCTGAGTATGTCTGCTCTTTTTGTCGAAGCCTGAACCTGTCCTGGAATGGTACATGACCAACGGGAAAGCCAGACAGCAAGAGGATCCCACGATGATTGCTGTCCTATTCAGCAGATCATGCTGGTTTTGTGAGAAGCACTGGTTGACCTGGCGAAGCCGTGCGAGACAAGCCAAGTCTGTGAACACCAAGTTCAGCATGGCAGTCCGTGCTTGCATACATTTGAGCTGGCTGGGCATGCTATTCGAGCAGTCCATGCACCAAAACATCACAGGAGTCATCTTCTTTGCATGCACAAGCCCCGAACGTGGCCGATTTCCGCGGCAAGCTCTTCCTCGAAGACTGTGTTGGCGGTCAAAGCCTGGCAAGTCTTTCCCACATAGCATGGAGTTTCCTCCAGTGATTCGGGTGAAGATATCCGTTTTTGCTGAGGGCTCTGAGATGCTCTGAGGCTTCGGCCTCCGCCAGTTCGCTGGCCTGGAGGCGCCCGACAACATCCTTGATCCTGCAGAGTGACAACTACGGGCAGCTCGGCGCTCGGATGCTGCCTCAGGCGTGTCAAATCTAAAATTACACGCACCGCTGTGAAGCTGAGAGCCGCACTTCTTCTTCAAAAGCTTGTACTCAACGTAGTGAAGGTCTGCATGCCCCTTTCCATGGGTTACTGTCGGCGACAAGCGTGCTGTCTCATGCTTTGAGAATCAGCGCTGCTCCTTTTTTGTCTGCGTGCTCATCTGTCCATGTCTCTCCCTCTCTGTCTCCGGCTTTCGTGGGTCTCCAAAGACTTCGACCTCTGTACCATGGCGGTTGTATGCAATGCCAATTGTCATCATCCTCACCATCATCATCACACTGCTATACTACAGTACGGTTGTTCCAAACTCTACAGTAGCTTGCTTGTCCGCAGTCGGCAAGCCAAGTACTAAGTCATCTGGTGACTCAGCTTCTCTCTCGAATGACGCGGGCAGATCACGGCGTAAGCCGTGATCTGGACAATGCGACACGAGGTTCAACAACTCTGTTCCAAGCATTGGCATGCAGGCACCTCTTGCTGGCTGCCAATGCTCTTTCCGAACCTCCGCGCGCAAACTAGGCGACAGACCCCGAGAAGTCATTACCAGGACAGTGTTGCTAGTGCAAAAGCTGTCAGGCACCGGCTTCATTTTTGATGAAGGCTGAAGCAAGCAGCAACGAGCAAGAGGTCGACTTACTTGATGCTCTTCAGTGCTTGCCTGCCAATGTGTCCGTCCAACATACTGGCTAGCCTTTACCAGTTACCACATTTGTCAGTTGCTGATGCGTTTGCACGGGAAGACATGGGAGGTGGGAAGGGGAACCTATGTGAGCCATCATGCTGCATCAGAGCAAGGACAGACAGCCTGCTCGGCCTGAGTGCAGGTACATGCGCGTAACCATCAATCGGAACAGCATCAGTTCCGCTTGTGTGCTAGTTTTTGCTTAAGCAACCAAGCTTTATGAGGACACCCAGTAAGGACAGGCAAGTCGCCAGCCAATCCATGGCAGGTCCTGGGCTAGACACTGCACCCAAAAGTTCCCCACACTCAATCGCCAGCTATGTCTGAAACCACCCAGCCGGAGCTCTAAAAACACATAGTTCGCTCACGTCGCGTTATCGAAACATCGACATGTTTCTGGAGTTACAAGGGAAGCGCAGCTCATTCATTGGCGCTTCCACACGTAGTGAGACTGTGACCTGTTGAGCGGGCTTGCTTGCGGGTCGCTAAGGAGCTGATTAGCTGGTATTTCCTTAGTAGAAGACAACAAGACCTTACCTCCAAAAAAGCTACGCGACACATGAAGGAAGCGGTTTTTAGTCTTTGGAGCCTCGGAGTTGCCTCGAACCGACCAAACCGCCGATTCATCCTCGAGGCGACCCGCGACCCGCCAGCCACAACTGTACATTCCCGCTTGGCCTTCTTGGAAGGCCTACTCAGCTGCTCAACCTTGGCCATCGCCAACGAGATTGCACCCAGGTGGCCCAGGCCTCATGCTCAGCTGCTCTGCTTGGTGGAAAGATTTGGCGCTAGATCACCGAACTTGACAGGCACTGCAAACTGCAAGGCACAGACACAGTGCAGTCAACTCTCCAGCACATGAGTCCATCCGGAGTTGCAGCAGTCCCTCGCAGTGCGGCAGATGGGCGCCGAACTCAAAGCCGGACGGAACTTGGCCGCGGGATTGGGAAGTAGCGACGGCCCTGGCGACTAAGAAAGCGCAGGGAAGCCTTCTGGGTCTGAGGACTCTTGACGGAATGAGGTAGTAGTATAACAGTATAACTATGACATCCCCAAAGTTCTCACACAAGATACTTTCGGCGGGAAGATGGTATCTGATAGGGGCAAGTTTCATGCCTGACATCTCCAGCACACAGTATCCTGCAGTGGCCTGTTTCAGGATACCATGCCGACAATGTCGAAGATAATGCACCGTACTGCGTTTTCTCACGCCTCTCACAAAGGGCCGGGGCGCGGCCTTCACACGCGTAGGAAAGCTATGGTAGCCACGCCGCTTCTTCAAGTACCACAGGCTCATGAGGAGCTCCTGAGCAGGCTCCATCCCATCGTTCAGCCCACATGCTTGTGCCTGCTTCGCCTGCGCCTACGCACTCACTGATGAAGAAGAAGGCTAGTGGAACAGTCTGTCGAAGACTCAACAGATCAACATAGCAGCTCAACAAGGGAAGCAATTTAGCAGTGGCGACAGTCATGGTTCCTCCTCGTTGACATCATCTTCAGGCTCTGCTTCAGCGCCAATGGCCGCCGCCAGCAGGCCCAGGCGTCCTATGTTGATCGACATGTCAAAGAGGCCCTTCTCGAACACCTGGGGATCATGGTAGGGGCGCAGCGGACAGAACGCACAGCCCTTCGTCGGCTTACCGCGGCCATAGTCTGTTTGCTTCAATATTCCGGCCTCGTCCTCCAGCGCCAATGCCGCTGGGTCGAAAACAGGCGCTTCGGTACCCAGCTGACCCGACGCCGGCCGTCGGACTTCCAGAAGGCCACTGAGAAGACACTGGTCCAGAAACTCGTCGCACTTGAGAGGCCGCAGATCCAGACTCTGTGACCATGACTGGATCGCAACCGCAGCAAACATTTCAATTCGCCTTTGCTTCAATAACCGTGTCTCTGAGAAGGACACGCTCTTTGAGATGGAAGGCGAACTTCTGCTAAGCGCTCCTTTGGGTTTGCTGCGGGGAGCGAGCGGCAAGGACGGCAGCGGCAGCAGAGGAACCTGAGCTCTACTTGAAGGATCTTGGTGGTTAGTATTTGGTTACAGGGGATATGGGGGATATAAGTGGGGTTATATAACTTGTGTAAACGGACTTATCTATGTAGTTAACTAGAGTTACCTAAGTGAACTTATTTGGACTTAGCTAAGTGGGATAAGTTGAAATATCAGCAAATATTCACATACATAGATGAACATAAAATGTATATATCCTCCAGCAAAAGCACAGAAGGAGAAGTGAGGCCACCGAGGACCTACATGACAATAAGCACGAGTGAAGCCGTCCAGAGCCTGATAAATCAAGCAATATATCGCCACAGAAAGTATTGCATGCATGCACATATTTCTGCAGTGCAAGCATGAGGAAAAGGCATGTGCATGATTCATGCATGCATGCTTGCAAGTATATACAGCGGTGACTTCAAGACTCGCATGCAGGGCACACTGCTCGCATGCAGACATGCACTCATGAAAGAGACTCGCATGCAGGGCACCTTGCTCGCATGCATTTTTTTCGGCTAGCGGCTAGACCAAAACGATCGCTTTGCCATCCTTCTCCGAATAGATGCAGCACGATTTGATGCTGTCCGTTGTCGTGATAAAGGGGTCGAAGTCTGTGCATTCAAACATGTGCTCGTACACATGCTTCCATGGTGTGACACAAGTCCAGACTTGGCCTGCAGCTTGGAAGTGAAACTGCACTAGACCCACAGTCGTAGCATCCAAAGCGACGATATCACCTTTTGTGCAAACGAACCCGCCGGCATGCATGGCCCGCAAATCATGCAAAATGGGCCCCGTTGCAAATGGCATGACCTGGCCCACGAGATCAACGAGCTTCTTCGGGGCCGGCTTGGGGTTCATAAGCCGCACCTTTGAGGATGGAAGCTCTGCAGATATGCAGTTCAACTGCACTGCCAAGACATCCTTCAGGACACTCTCCTCGAAGCCCCTGGAGCCATCCAGCTTTTGGTTCGCAAACCGCTTGACGACTTTGTGTTTTCGCTCGTGGGTGAAGCACCACACCAAGTGGCCAAACTTTGCAAGAAATTCACCTAGATGAAGTGACATATGGTTCTTTGGAACCCATATATCTTGGCCATAGGTCTCTAGCAAGCAGTTCGAATGTTTCACGATCGTGTCGTGAAGGACCGCCGGGTCAACAGCACGTCCTCGCACAGCATCATGAAGCATGTCTACGACCTTGCACAGCATCAGGAAGCACATGCATGCCTGGACCGTGCCCGGGCTGATCGCTGTTGTCATGACAAACTTCAAGATAAAGATTCGCAAAACAGGAAGAGCATTGAGGAGCTCAGAAGCCTCAGCCTTCACAGGAGATGTTTTCTTTTCCCGTTTTGCAAAAACTCTTTTTGCATCGGGTGAAGCGAACTGCTTCGGCCACCGAAAGCTGGACACAAAATCCATGAGTCGATCCTCGCCGAAACCTGCATCGCGAAGCTCGGCAAAGAAGCAGCCCAATTCATTTCCAACGATGCCATGGACGAGGTAGATGTGAAAAAAATCGAACATTATGGCCTCAGGCACCTTGTGTCCTATGATGTCATCCATGAGCAACCCGTGCACTCGCAGATTGAATCCCAGGGCTGTTTCCAAGGCCTCGAACTGTGCTTTGCTAACAGTGCCATGCTGTGCATCCAAGAATGCCAGGAAATCCCGAGTCGTGGCATTGGTGTGTAAACGAAATTTCGAATAATCAGTGCACAAGCTGGACACGAACTCAGATCGCATGTCACTCACCGTGCTTCTGGCAGCAACGACATTGCTGCATCGGCAGCAGAAGACGGTGCCTGAGGCACCTTTTCCCTCGATGGACTGCTTAATGGCCGCTTCATCTGCGACTAAGATCTTCAAGTCCAAGAAGATGGGGAAATGGTCTCCTTCCGGAGTGTCCACCACCATGCCTTTTCGCATGTCGTGATCTGTGAAAAACAGTCGAAGCATGAGTCGCCACAAACACGTCAACCCGCCGATGGAAGAACAATGGTGCGACCGTAGGCAGGTCAGTGGAAACCATAATGCCTCAGACGCCAAACCGCGACTTCCAAGTTCGGATATACTCCAGTATATACATTGGATTTTGCGGGAATTGTTGGCTTTGAGTGTGTTGCCAGGGGTCACTTCATCAGCATAGAAAATGAGACCCCATGGCCGAGCATAGGATGGTGTCTCCTTGTGTGGCAACACCTCCTGTCGCAGAAATTCCCACAACGGAGCAAGACTGAAGATGTGCTTCAGGAAGGCAGCCGGGTGGATGTATGGCACCGTCACCGTCTTGTTGCACTGGCCCTCCACCGGGACCTCCATCTTCTGCACCAAGGGCCCATAAACACCGGTAAGAGATGCAAGGTCCTCCTCCCGAGCTCGCTTGATGGAGCTTCTGGAAGATGTAACGTCGTCGGCAAGCAACCCAGACTTCTTTAAGTCTGTCAACACACTCTCTATGCCGTGTTGTGACACATATGCCTTGCGGCCCAACATAGCCAACGGAGCCTTGGAGCTGCTTGCAGTCTCAGTCATGATGATTCAGAAGAGGTGCTCGACGTGAGAACCATGTCTGAACATGAAGCATCTATATACATATGTGTATAAATTTACGATACGTAAAAGCAATATATACCTATATAAACCCATATATAGATACCATATAGTACATACGAGGGAAAACCCTTTATATATAAGCCGACAGACCTATATATATATATATATATATATATATATATATATATACATCCCCTATATAATATATAAACCTATATAACCGTAAACCCTAAAACCCTATAACCCTGAAAACCCTATGTATTTATAAACCTGAACCTACAGTGTATATATTATATATTTATGAACCTATATATGCACATGGCATGCATGCCTCAGCACTTGGAGCCTGCACACACTGCAGGCACAACACACACACACACACACACACACACACACACACACACACACACACACACACACACACTCGCCTGCCAACATACACTTCCGGAAGAAGCTGGCAGCACGGGCTTCACACATGGTTGCATGGCATTCATGCATGATGCAAGGAAAGCTCGCGAGCAGCTTTTGCCGACTTTCCTCAAAATCCTGTCGCGATGGAGTGCATTTAGCGAAAGCAGGGGCTTCAGACATGGCACTGCATGATGCATGATGCATGGAAAGCTCGCGAGTATAGCTTCTGCCGAGAATCCTCAAAATCCTGTCGCGATGGAGTGCGATGGAGTGCATTTAGCGAAAGCACGACGGAGTGCAGCCAGGGCTTCGTCGGCATTTGGGGCAACCAAAAGGCCGGTAGGGCTTTCGGGCTTCTTTGCTCATCGTTTGCATCACCTCCTTCGAGGGCATGGCCTTGGCCTTCGCATGCGACTTGGCTTTGGCCTTCGGCTGCGATTTGGCTTTGGCCTTCGGCTGCGATTTGGCCTTGGCCTTCGCCTTTGATTTGGCCTTGGCCTTCGGATTCCCGTGCCCCACTGCGGCATCGGCAGCAGACGGCTTCTTCATGGCCGGGCCCTTGTCCGATTCCAGCTTGCGACTCTCCCATGCCGCCAGCATTGCATTAGCTTGCTCGGCTGGTTGCAGGGGCGGCTTATTCTGGTCGTTGGTGGTCTCGGACTGCAGCCCCCAGTTCTCAATCTGCTGCTGTTGCCCATGCGGATCTGATTGATGTCCTTGCGGCTCCGATCGATGTCCTTGCCCCGCCTGGTTGGAAGGAACGATCTGTGCATCGGTCGGCTTTCCCTGACTCTGATGTCCTGCAGGCTGCCCCGGTTGATTGAACAGAACGAGGTTCGGCAAGCCTTGGGACTTCGGGGTTGGCGGTGCCATCCACTGCTGCTGCATATGATTGTATGCCTGCATCATCTGCTGCATCGTCATAAACTGCTGCCCATGACTCGGCAACAGCGGCACATGACTCGGCAACATATGACTCGGGAACATGCCCGGCTGATGCTGCCACGAGCTGGCAGAAGTGGAAGGCGAAACACTCTTGTGCGACTTCCTCACGGGTCCAGTGATGCCCACTGGGCCACTTCGCACCGAAGCCTGAGGGCTGTCTTTGAAGCAACGTTCGGCCAGGTCCTTTGGCAACTCGTCGGGAGTGCTGAATGTCTGGACATGCACTGAAGCAGGCAGCATCTTCTTCACATGTCCTTTCAATGCCGCCTTAAAGTCTTGAACAGACTTCAAGAACTCGCCCGGCTCCCCCAATTCTGCTACCTGCATGTGTTGCTTGAGGAAGCTGATGGCCCTCCCGCATGACTGCTCGGTTGGGTTGCTGCACCCCACTCGAGAGAACACCATGCTCAGCCGTGTGACCTTTGCGAGAACGTTCAGATCGGGATTGCTCAGGCAACTGACATCGTCTTCCGAGAGGAACGGAGCAACATCAGGCAGTTCTTGAGTGCATTTCTTCGTCCTCTTGCTAGCAGCTGCTTTTGCAATCTTCTCGGATACGATGGTGATCAGCTGATCTTTTTGCCCCGGGGAGAAAGGGGAGTCGGCGATGGTCTTCATGAGGGGTTCCATGTCTTCGTTGCCCAAGTCCATCGCCTTGAGCTGCTGCTCCAAGCTGTGCAGCTGTGCCGTCAAGACATGTTGGCGAGCCGTGTCATCCTGGAGGGTCCCGATGATGGCTTTCACCGCCGCAAATTGCTGCATCATCTTCGCTGGCGACAGCGGATCTTCACTATCGTGCTAGACAACGTGATATGTCCTGAGAACCACAACATGAGTACATGCATCATGTGTGCAAAGGTGTTGTGTGAATGTCCATCTTGTGAATGCATCAATGAGCATGCAGGACAGCATGCAAGCGACTGCATGCAGGCTTTCTTTTTTCAACATGTATTCCATGAAACTTCGCCATGCTTCTGCATGGGCATCAAAACTGTGCCAGATGCTTGTGCAATGCTTCTGCATGGGCATCAAAACTGTGCCAGATGCTTGTGCAAAGCCACGAACCTCGGGTCGGTGTTGCCGAT